GGGCATGGCAGCTGTGCCTGGCTCACGCATCTTTCCAGCCCCAGACACTTTACACGCTAGTACTCTGAGAATCTGGAGAGTTATCACACTTCCTTCTTTTTCTTTTTTCTTAAACTAGTTTATTTACAAAATTAGAATACATTGCTTTTCACACTATATTCTCCCAAGTTCCCTCACCCGCCACCCGTCAAATTGTACAACCCCATGAATAATCCCCTCCCCTTTTCAATCCTCATTCTGCTGCTTCCACCCTCCTCCCTCCTCCTTTGAATCCTCATACTCAATTCTACAATAATGGTTTGATACAATATTTATCCTTGTGGCACTGAGTTGGTTCACTCAGCATGATGCTCTCCAGTCCCTCCCAAGTTAGGAAATAATTTACAAACTCATTGCCCCTGCGTGCTGTGTAGTATTCCATTGTGTGAATCGACTGTGGCTGGACACCTGGGCTGTTTCCATGTTCTCGTGACGGTGAGTAACACTGCTATGAACACTGGTGCGCACTTCTTTATTAATGATGTCTCTTGCACTTTGCCCTTAAAGATTTTCCACCAGCTGCTCCAAGGGAGAAAGATGAGCAGTCTCCTGCCCTGTGATTTACTGACTCTGAAAATCTGCCGGGGGGTCGGCTACAGGTCGGTTCCGACTCTGCTGCACACAGTCACCACCTGCACTTTGCCAGGAACTCCCGATTAACTGACTGCTTCCACTAAGTAAACCCTCTGTCATCAACCGGAACCCAGCTCACCGTGACCCCTGCAGGGGTTCCTATGCTGCCAATCCTAACAGGAGAAGACTGTCTTTCTCTGAAGAGCAGATGATGGATTCGAACTTTCTGAGACGTAAGACTATGTCGCCAGAGCTTTCTGTTCCTTACCAGGAAGTGACACTATTAAAAAATTAAATCCTTAAATCCTGATGCTTAATCTCCAGGGCTGTGTGACTTCCTCTGTCTCCTCCCCTCCATAAAATGGAGTCAGGACAGACACACCTTTTGCAGGTTTCCAGAAACTCAGGTAACATGGCTCAGGTAATATAGCATGGTACCTGGGACACGGAAACTCAAATCAAAAGGAGCTGTAATTCTTCGTCTTGTTTTTAAAAACACACACTGTGATTTGAGTGAGTTTACAAAGCGAAATTTTGATCTGTTTAATTCACTACTCATATGCAGTGTTGGATGGATGGATGGATTTGTTTGAGGACAGGAGAGGAGATACTGGGAGGGGTCTTCCCAGCCATGAAAAAAGCTAGGTGGCATCACGTGATTGCAAGTAATGCCACTAAACTGTATACTAAAGAGTGATGTCACATTTTGTAGCGTAAGTATTTCATCACACTTTAAAAAAAATAGTTACACTTTACTATTGTTGCTATGTGCTATCAAATCACCTGCGACTCACAGGGACCCTGTGTACAACAGCTCTGAAGCCTGCCCTGTCCTGAGCCAATCTCACTGACTCCAATACACCAATCCCACTGCCCCAGTTACTGTGTCAATCCATCTCATCTGGGGTCTTCCTCTCCTGTGCTGTCCCTCCACCCTCCTGAGCATAACGTCCTTCTCCAAGGACTGGTTCTTCCTGCCACGTGCCCAAAGTATGTGAAATGGAACTTCAAAATCCTAGCCTCCAAGGAGAAACTTGGTTTCACCCTCTCAAAGACACTAGTCAATGTAATTTAGGTTTCTGTACCTTGCAGAATTTCCAACACATACAATGAAATTCATTCATTTATTCAGTTGCTCCCTCTTTCCAAGCTCCAGCTTTCTACAGATAGAATCAGATCACCACGTGGAATAGTATTTAGCCTAGTGAATGGAGCTACCAGGTAAATATAAACAGAAGACATTTATAATTATAAGGTTGACAGGCTGGCGCCTGGCAAGGCTGTTTTAGGAAAGTGCGTTGAGTGGGTATGATAAATGCCAGGCAGTGAATTCCACAAAAACAGGCCTGTCATGTCCCCGATGGCATCCGCGCTCCTGTCCGGCTCCCCGGTCTCTGTCTTCCATCACACCAACTGCTGGGTAAACACTGCATCATCCTTGGGCAGCAGGAATTTGCTGGTGGAAAGAGCATGCTAACCCTTTCCAAGAGAACCCTCAGGCCACATATTTTATCCTAATGTAGGCAGAGGCTCGGTGTCTCAACACCGGCCGAGGTCTCCACCCGGTTCATCTCATGCCAGGCGCTGAAAGGATGCCACTGCGTGCACTTCTTCTGGAAGCCAGTGGCAGATGCAGGAGTCGAGCAAAGCCAGTCATGTTCTCCAGCATCTTCCTTCTATTTTGGCAACAGAATGGAGGCTGGGGCAGGATCAACCAAGGGCCAGCTCATTCCAGGAAGCCTAAAAACTACATGGATTTCATCAAAGGATCCAACACACAGGACAAAAGGCTCGGAGAAAATTCCCTGCGTGCTCCTCAGGTCCTCAACCCAGGTGTTACCACAACCCACAGACCACACCTTATCACCTGCCCTTTGTGGCCTAAGACCATTTCCTAGAAAAGAACACAACCACAGACACAGAGTATGACATGCAATCACTTCTGTAAAATTAAAATGATGATGTTGTGGGCCAGAGAACTGGAACTGACCCGCAGCTGATGCTCCAGTGGGTTTTCGGAGGCAGTAAATCACACGGGAAGAGAATGTCCATCTTTCTCCTTCAGTGCAGCTGGTGGAGTTGAACCGCGTGCCAGGGGGATTGCAGTGCAGCATGATAAACCCATGTAAAATTTCATTATATAATCTTTGTTATGGTGTTGGTAGGGCCAGGTGTATCATCAAGTGGGAACCGAGCCATAGCTGACCCTCCAGCAGGTTATCAGAGGCAGTTAATTGTATGGGAGGAAACTGCCCATCCTTCTCCCGACATACATACAGATAGAATCCTCTGCTATGGTGGAAGGCACTGGTCCTTGCTGGTTGATGCTGTCTACCTGGTTCAGACTCACAGTGTCCCTACACACATCAGAATGATGCACGGCCCATGTCTTGTGTCATTATTATTTTTGGTACAGTGATTTTGTATATTCTTCCATCTTCCTATGATCCTTCCTATACCATTGAAGATTTTGTCCAGAAAACTCCTCATTATCGCAATGTGAGACTTGAATTTTTTTTTTTAATTTTTTATGGGTGTTTCAGAAGTAGAATTAATTCCACATACATGCTTCCTCTTCTCTTTACCTAATGGTTTGGAGAGGAGGGTAGCTTTTGTTGTTGTGTACCACAGAGTCGGAACCAACCCATAGCTGACCCTCTGGCGGGTTTTCAGAGGCAGTTAATATTAGCACAGGAGGAAGATTGCTCATTCTTCTCCCATGGAGCGGCTGGTGGCCTTGAACCGCATGTGTTTCAGGATTGCAGAGCAGCTTCTCGCCACTAGGCCGTCAGAGCTCCTTTGGGGAGGAAGGGAGTTTGTAGCTCGTAAAGTATCACAGATGCTTTTCCAATAATAACTTGCTTTGGGTTTCACAAAATTGGGTAAGAAACAGTAGATTTTGTCTATTGTGTGTTCTAATACTTCCTCATTGCTCCTAGACTACTTTGTGACGCAGTTCCCATTCCACTTTAATAAGCGAGAGCATCCGCTGAAGACTAGTAGGGCTCTCCCTGTATATGCAGGTCTTCTTGCACGGATGTGACTGAGTTTATTATAGAGAAAAGTAAGAGCATTATGGACGCAAAAGAGAAAACAAAGGGAGACACACGTGCCTCAGCAGCCCAGCCATGGATCTCCCAGGGAGTTTTGGTGTTTTGTTTGTTTTTTTTAAGATTTTAATGAAAGTTTATAAAGAACTTGGATTTCCATTCATTCACTGTTGCATCAGGACGTAGATTTTTCTGGTCATTTCCAGTTAGCAGATCCTTTGGCAGGTTTCACAGCTTTCAGGCTGTCCTGTGTGTCTCATAGCTCCGCCTTTGCTTAATATCTTCAGTGAGCCCCTCAAGGGTGAGGATTCTGTCCTGGACCATCACAGTCCCGGCAATGAACTTCAGATGTTCACTCTGTTGTACCTCACTTCCTCAAGCCCAGCATAGCAACCCTTCACCCCTAGTACTCAGCCCTCTCTCAATCTAAAACCCTTCTGGAGACTTCACATTTTTTTATTTCACTCTTTCAGCTCAAGAAATGCCAAGCCTGTTCGTCCCTCTTCTAACTCCCGCTCTATGCACCTTTCATTATAATCATTTGTCTTCTTCAGTTGCCCTCTGAAATCTTTTGGAAGGGAGCTCTGGTAGCCTAGTGGCCAGAAGTTGCACTGCAATCCCAAAGTTGTGCAGTTCGAATCCACCATATTCTAGGCTGGAGAAGGAGGGACAATCTCCTGTGTCGCTTGGATCCAACTCAATGGTATACAACAAGAAAAAAATAAAATTTAAAAAAAAAATTTAAATCTTTCAGAAATTTGTTGTTCTTAGGTGCTGTCAAGTCAGAACCGACTTATAGCTGACCCTCTAGAGAGTGTTCAGAAGATGTAAATATCACAGGAGGAGACTGCCTATGTTTTTCCCAAGGAGCAGCTGGTGGATTTGAATTGCCTGCCTTTGGGTTGGCAGCCCAACTCCTTATCTCTTGGCTACCTACCAGAGCTCACTGCTGGAAATAGATCTAAAAATACAGATTCTGTGTATATACAGAAGAAACTGGTGTAAGGAGGGTGACCAGGTCTTGGGAAGGGAAGGAGCTGCCTGTTCACTGTACATCTCTGGTTCTCCAGTTAGGTACCCTTGACCCTGGGATGTTTGGCAGTGTCTTAGAATATTCTGTGATGCAAACAGTTACCTCTCACTACTGACTGAGAGAGTGATTTAATGCAACCCAGCAGCCCCACAGAAGAAGGTGAGGCTATGTGCTACAATGAAGATGTATTTCAGGCCAGAAAATTCAATGGCACTTTGGTCATTTTCTGTTAAGACTTGGGTCCACTAAATGGCAATGGCTTTGGCCTTTGTGGGTCAGAGCCATTGTGGATTGTCACCAACTGTGGTGAGGTGTCACTGGCATCTAATGCGGAGAAGAAGGGGCTGCCTGCTTAGCAAGTTACCACGCACCACACAGCCAAGAATGCACACAGGGCCAACTGTGCAAACTGCTCTTTTGTTTTGTTTTTTTAGAAGAAAATGGTAAAATTTTATTGGAAATGCATCTCAATGATATGTTTCAGGCTGTTTTCCAATTTATGTTTCCATTGGTAAATAATACTTAAAATTATAATACGCTACAAGTTAGGATTAATTATCTCTATGCAAACTATTCTTAACATGTGAATGTATTTATTCTGTTTTAAAAATAAGATGTCATGATAAAAAGGAAAAACCATGCAGTGCTGGTTTGACAGTTTAAAGAAAAAAAAAAGAATAAAACCAGACATGCTACAGAACTCCCCTGAATTCTATACAGGAGCCCTGGCGGCCAATGGTGAAATGCTCACCTGCTAAACCAAAGGCTGACAGTGAATGCATCCAATAGTGCTGTGGAAGAAAGGCCTGGTGATCTGCTCCTAGAAAATCGACAACCTAGGAAACTCCAGGGCTGTTCAACTCTATCACATGGTCATTATGAGCTGAAACGAACTTGATGGCCCCCAATAACAACAGGCTAACTTTTACTTTGTCCCGGAGAAGAGTTGAAGGAGCCCTGGTGCCGCAGTGATTAAAGTTGCTGATTCAGTTGAGAATCAGAAGTTTGGCTGTTTGGACCCACTAGACTCTTGGGAGGAGAAAGATGTGGCCATTCCTTCTGTAAAGGAACAGCCCTGGAGACCCTACAGGGTATTCTACCATGTCCCTTGAGGTCATTGTGAGACAGAATTGACTTGATGATGATGGGTCACTGGGTTTAGCTTTGGGTTTTTGGAGAGAGCCAAGGACATTCGAGTGTCAAAAGGTGGCTTTAGTGTGTCTGCAGCTTCAAATGAGGGGACATGTGAGCTGGAAGGACCTTGGGGAGCCAACATCCTTCCTGGAGCATCTTAGGTGCCCCAGGCATCCTGCTAAGTATTGCAGCTAAGTGTAGACGTGTTGTGTCTGTGCTCAGGAGGCAAAAACGCCACAACCTGCTTCCCATGTCTGCCGTGGGCTCAGGAGGGACGGTAGACATGTGGTTGGCTTCCCTGTGGTCAAGTCTCTCATTTCTCATCCAAAAGAAATCAGAGATGGAAGAGCAGAATGACCAACTTAAGATCACATGTGAGGTGGCAGAATGTGGCAAAAGTTCCAACTCCAGAACATTCCATCTCTCCAAGTCAGGGGTCAGCCTATTATCACTATAGCCCCAGACTCTCCCGTGCCTAAACACAGCCCGTAAGCAGAGAATGAATTTCACACTTTCAAATGGCTTAGGAAAAAATTTTAAAGAAGAGTATTTCATGGAAATGATATGAAATCCAAATTTGAGTGTCTCTGAGTTGTTATGGGAACGTGGCCACACCCATTCATTTCTGTACGTCATGGCCACTGTGACCCTAGAGGCAGAGGTGAGAAGCACATGCCAACAGACACTGTGTAGTTTAAAAAAAGCTTAAAATATTTACTGGCTGCTGTTTGCCAAAGAGGCTGGCACACTCTGTTGTTTGTCAATGTTTCTCAAACATTAAAATGTAACATCGAACCAAATTTGTGCCAGTGAGTGGATTCCAACTCAGGGTGAGCCTCCGTCAGATTTCTAGGCTGTAAATCTCTAAGGGAGGAGAATGCACAACTTTCTCCCTTGGAGCAGCTGGTAGGTTCAAACCATCAACCTTTTGGCTGGAAGTACTGCACACAAGGCATTATGCCATCAGAGCTCCTTATGAAACATTTTCATTCAGAAGGTCCAAGCTGTCAGATGATGCTAACGTGGCCGGCAGGTGAGCTGCACCCTGAGTAGCCAAGAAGACAGGTTGAGGAAGCTACAGGATATCCCTGCATCAGGAAAGCATGCTTCACTAAAATGCACGAAGCTGTTATGAATGTGTGAACCAGGAAAAAAGGGATACAACACTTGTATCGTGTGGCTCCGTTTGAAGATATTATAAACATTTACAGATTATCTCCTATCTCTATACCTTTTCTATCTATATGCAGAACAGATCATTTGGGAGGCTGCACTTTATGAGGAGGAATGTGGCATCAGGACTGGAGGAAGACTCATCAACAACCTGCGTTATGCAGATGACACAACCCTACTTGCTGAAACTGAGGAGGACCTGAGGCTTTTGCTGCAGAAGGTCAAAGACTGTAGTCTTCAATATGGATTGAAGCTCAGCATCAAGAAAACAAATATTCTCACCACTCGGCCAACTGGCAGCTTCATGTTAGACAGAGAAGAGACTGAAATTGTTGATAACTTCAGCTTGGCTGGTTCCACAATCAACACTCTGGGCACCAGCAGTTAGGAAATCAAAAGACAAATTGCACTGGGAAAGTCTACTGTCAGGGACCTCTCCAAAGTACTGAAGAACGTCAGTCTGAAGACTTGGGTGCACTTGATTCAGGCTATGGTCTTTTTAAGGTATGGTAATTACTTGCTAGGCATCCAAGAGCTAGACAATAACTAAGGATGAGAAGAAGGATCAATGTCTTTGAGTTGCGGTGCTGGAGAGGAGTGTTGAACATACCATGGGCTGCCAGGAGAACAAACAAATCTGTCCTGGAGAGGGTGAAACCAGGCTGCTCCCTGGAGCAAGGATTTTGAGGCTCTGTCTCACATACTTTGGGCATGTGGCCAGGAGAGACCAGTCCTTGGAGAAGGACATCATGGTTGGAAAGGTAGAGGGACAGTGCAAGAGAGGAAAACCCAGGATGAAATGGATTGACTCAACGACTAGAGAAATGGGATTAGGTCTGTCAGAGATGATAGGACTGGCTCAGGATAGGGCAGGGTTCAGGGGTAACATGCACAGAGGGTTGCTATGAGGTTCAGGCAATTCAATGGCACATAACAACAAGAACAACAGGTATCTCTGCATAAACATGTTTTCCTTCAAGATACACAGAAACTACTTTAGAGAAGAGGCTCTAGAGAACAGAAGGGGAAGAGAATGGATTTCTCATTTTACAGGTTTCTGGTTTGTTCAGTTAGAGTTTTTATTTTGATGTTGGCCAGCTTTGGAAAAAAGTTCAGAGACAGTGAGAAGCACTGTTTATAGCAGTGATCCCAAACAAGGAGATCTTGTGAAGATGGAATAGGGAAACCCTTTTCAACGTAGTTGACACATACCTTTTTGAGTTCTATGTCTGTCTTTAAATAATTAGCTCATTGCCATTGACTCGAAACTGACTCCTAGTTGTTCCTCCAGAGGGTGTGTGTTTGTTTTTGTGTTGTTTTGTTTAAGCATGAATGACAAACACTTGTTGAGCATTGGTTAAGACACTGAAACTAGACCTTACTCTCTTGGAGTTGACATTCTAGCAGGGAGAAGACAGTAAACAAAATCAATAACTAGACATTGGTGTGTTCAGCATTACCATCCAAAGCATGGTTCATGGACCACTGTCAATTCACAGTTTGTGATTAGCTGGCAAAGAGATACAGAGCTGGCACCAGGAAGTGTAACACAACTAGGACATCAAGTGCATCATGTATTTCAGTTCACTTTATTTTCACAGCAAGACTTTCCCAATGAAGGAAGCAGAGAAAAAGTACTGCTTTATATTCTGGTGCAAAATTCTTCCTTATGGCAGACCTTTCACAAATGGCTCCAGAACTGGCTACTTTTGAGTATCCCTGAGCTACTGCTGTAACTATGTTTTGTTGAGTCAGGACTGACTCGTAGCTGACCCTCCAGCAGGTTTTCAGAGGCTGTAAATCACACAGGAGGAGACTTCCCATCCTTCTCCTGTGGAGTAGCTGGAGGATTCGAACAAACCAACTGCCTTCAGGTTGGCATGAACTCCTGACCACTTGGCCATTGCTGAACTAGACGTCCCAAATGCTGTGAATAAGTGCTCTGTTACGTAGATACTCACCATAATAAAATTAAGTGTGGCATTTTCAGAAGAGTGTTCTGAGAAGGCCTCTCTGAGATGTGACCTTACAGAAATACTTAAGCATGGAAATAAAACAGAACAATGTAGTCCAGGAACTAACGCAGCTTCACTCACCAGGAAAGGTGTGCAGACCCAGGTGAAGGTGCCCACGGCGCCCAGGTAGGCAGACTTCTTCAGCACCTTCAGCTCCTCCTGTCTGATGGTCAGCACCTTCTCCTTGAAAGCCAGCTCCCAGGCGTAAAGCTTTAGCACCTTGATCCCGTTGAGAATTTCATTCATCAGCTTAATCCGATTGTCTTTGCTCTTCATGTGGGCCACCTTCGCAGACAAGGACAGCCAGTCAACCCAGCATTCTCATGCCGGCCCCTCACTCCTGCACCAGAGACCGGATTTCCCAACACTTCCTAGTGCTGAGAACATCACCTCTTACAAAAAGGTCCTCACTAAGGTGGGAAAACTCACTGTTATCTCTATTAGGAATCCCAAGGTGGAGCAATAGTTAACACACTCGGTTGCTAACTGAAAGACTGTGGCAGTTTGAGTTCATTCAGAGGTACCTCCAAAGAAAGGACTGGCAGTCTATGTCAAAATGGAATCAGTCCCTGAAAACCCAATGGAGCACAGCCCTACACACATACAACCCCCTATATACACACACCTGTCTACAACACCCCCCTATATACACACACCTGTCTACACACACACACACACAGTCACCATGAATCAAAACTAAACTCTGTGGCAACTGGTATATATCATCTCTATGGGCTGTGCAGGGTTTTTGAGGGCCTCTTATTTCAGACGTGGATGGCCAGCCCTGCTTCTCAGTCTGGAAACTCCGCTGAAACCTGTCCATCATGGTGACCCTGTTGGAATCTGAAATACTAGTGGCTCAGTTTCCAGCATCATAGCAATGTGCAAGTCATCGCAGGACAGCACACTGACAGACAAGTGGCGGACGGACTGTATAAACTCTTTGCCCTGAAACCACGGCTGAAGGATTCCTTCACCAAGAAAGTAAAACAGAAAGAAAAAAGAATCCCAAACCCTACTACCCTAACTTTTCTGATTCAGGTCAAGTTGGATATTAAGAGAAACTTATTAAAGTTAAGAGTCAAGGATGCATGGCAAGAACAAGTCTTTAGAAAACAGGGGCACTGCTCTGCTGATCCAAACCCAGGAGGGATTTCTTCTCCATTCTCTTATTGACTTTCACCCAGCACGTGACATTGAGGTATTAGGATATTTCTGCACCACCAGGTGCTGGCTCTAGTGCTAGATGTCCATGCCATACAGTTGTTCAATGTGTATATTGTTATCACCATACATTTTGCATCTAGCAGGCATCATTCTAAGCATCTCCTGTGCAGTCCATCATTTACCTCATCGCCACAGCCAGCTGTTAGGGCCACAGATGAGGAATCTCCAGGAAATAGCCCGTGGAGGCCAGCAAATGAGGATGCCTGCAGAGGAGGCTTCTCTGGGAAACCAACCCACCGAGGTAACAAGATGTGCCCAGGCCATTTCCCTGTCTATACTGGGCTTTTCATTTCACGAGGCTCACAGCCTGGGGCTCAAAAGCCCTATGGGGCCCAGGGCCAAGGGCTCTCATCTGACCTTCTACAGGCACAACACAAACATCTACCTATCCGCAGGGCAACGGAGAAATAAACCCTGGCCCATCTCGGCGATGCACCATTAGGTACCAGTTCAAGAGAATGAACATGGACCGCATAAAGCACATAACTACACCCCAAATCACAAATTTGTGTAAATTTGTGTGAAAATCACAAATCATCCGTGAGCTAGGGTCGAGTGTGGCAATCTGATGGCTTACTCTGGACTGGGTTTTGCAAACGTGGGTACAAATGCTCAGTTTCCAAATTGAACAAAAAGATCCTTCAGCAAAAGGGCCATGCTTGTTCCCTCAGAACACTGGTTTGACACAGATGGGGAAATCAGAAAATGGCATCTGAAAGGGGAAACAAAGGCATGAGGCATGAAGCAGCTGGCTTACACACTTTCACAAATGTACTTATTAGTAAGATGATTGTAACAGGGAGAGATCCACAATAAAGACTGTAAAAAACACAACGTACATGAAAAAAAAAGTCTTTAAAAAGTGAGGGTCGGGGAGAGTGAAAGAGATCTCTATTAAATCTACGTGGTTTTGTATTATTTGCATTTTTTTTAAATAATGAGAAGCCTTCACTCTACTGCTTGTATATTTGTTAAAAATGTTAAAACTCCAAACAATCTGTAAAAATTAAGACATTCCATAGGCACAGTGCCTCATGTAAGGGAAAGAGCTTGACTAGGGACAAAACTAGGAAGGGTTGCTACACCAGCACCACACACACACCAAAACCAAAGCTACCCTGTGGGGCTGCTATCACCTCACAACGAGCCTGTAGGATGGAGGAGAACCACCCTTGGGTTGTTTGTCCTCTTTAAAGAAGTACACAGCAGGTAGGTTTGAACTCCCAACCTTTCTGTCAACAACTGATCATGTGCCCCCTATACCGCCAAGGCCACTTACTTTCATACATACATACACATACACACACACACACATTTATGGATCAGCTCTGTAGTTAACAGGGCACCTGCTGGGGTCCTGGACATTGTGACTTCAACCTCTGATACTGAGTCTAAGGCAGGAGCCCTCCCTCCTGGGCACTGACACTGTGAGAATCCAAATCCCAGGGTGGGGCCCAGGCAAGCTCATTAGTTAGAGCTCCCGAGGTGATTCCAACAGGCAGGTCAGGCTGAGAACCTGCGAGCCTGGGCAGGGTGAACAGTTAACAGTTCTTGGCTGGACAGGTGTCAGGGGAGATTGACATCCTACCTGGTAGGTCTTGGTCTTCATCGCCATCACAGCATTGACAGGGACCATGAGGATCATGACAGCCACCCCGGCCAGGACAGACGGACCCAGGTTCTGAGAAAGGAAAGGAGCCGTGGTGACCACAGAGCCTGAAGAGAGGTCGAGGGGCTGGGCTACACCCCGTCAGCTTGGTCAGGGTGGTTCAGAACAGCTGGCAGGCTCTGCTTCCAGCTGTGCAGTGTCAAAAGTTACCAAATTTAGATCCAAGCATCCTCTTTAAGAAGACGACCCACCACCCCTCACCTGGAACTCTTCTGGCCTGATGGCTATGGGTATTGCAAATTATAACTTGTAGGTTTAAAAGTTTAAAAAAGGGTGTTGTTGTTTTTAAAGTGTTAACAATTTAAAACTGTTAACCAGAGTAACCTGTTGAATTGTTCAATTTGGTAACAAGAGTTAATAACTTTGTAGATTGTTGCTGTCATTAGTTGCCTTCAAGATGACTACAACTCACACAGTGACCCTATGAATAAGGATCTGAATCCTGTTCTATCCTGCGCCATCCTCACCGTCCCTGATACCCCTGAGCCCACCGTTACAGTCGCTGTTGTCAAGGCACCTTGCTGAGGGTCTTCCTCTCTGACACGGACCCTCCACCTTTCCCAGTATCGCTTCTTCCAAGGACCGGCCCCTCCTCTGTGTTATCACATGAGAGGGATGTGCGGGGCAAATTTCCAGTGAAAACACAATAAACAAAAAATTATAAACAAGGACACACAGCCTGATGGCTGTCCTTAGAAAGAGTAGCAGTGGAGGATGGCCCTTGGAGGGCATCTGGGAACTTGTCGAGAGGATTCTCACAGAACTGACTGATGGCCCACGAGGCCAAAACAGTGTGGTTCGCAGGGAGCTTCCCCGCTAAGTCAAAGGCCGAGTCTCCGGCCGTTCAAAGCCACCATCAGCTCCTCGGGAGAAAGACGAGCCATCTCTATCCGTGTGATTCCCGGTCTTGGCAAATCCAGCAGAGGCCCAGCTAGGTTGGTTCTGACTCCCGGTCTTGGTAAATCCAGCAGAGGCCCAGCTAGGTTGGTTCTGACTCCCGGTCTTGGTAAATCCAGCAGAGGCCCAGCTAGGTTGGTTCTGACTCCACAGAGAGTCCGAGTTTGTGAGTTTTTAGGCCTAAAGCGGTGCTGAGTCAGAATCGATTTCACGGCAGTTGGGTTTGTGTTCTGAGTGATGATGTTTGGCTGCTAACTGAAAGGTCATCAGTTCAAATTACCAGCTGCTCTGGGGGAAAATATTGTTGACAGTCTGTTTCCATACAGATTTAGGGCCTTGGAAATCCTAATTTGTTGTGTGTTGTTGTTCTGACCCAGAGCTGCCCCTCCAGCGGGAAGCAGTAAATCGCATGGGAGGAGACTGCTCATCCTTCTCCCATGGAATAGCTGGTGGATTCAAACCATGTACCTTTGGGATTGTCGCACAGCTTCTTACCACTAGGCCATCAGAGCTCCCTGTACAAGAGCCAAATTCACTACCTTCTGGACAATTCTGCCCGATGGCCACCGTCCTCTAGGTTTCTGAAGCTTCAAATCTTTACAGGAAGGAGCTGCCCATCTTTCTCCTGTGGAGAAGCTGGTGGATTTGAACCACTGGACTTCCAGTTAGCAGTGCAACCCATAACACACTAGAGCACTAGGGCTCCTTGGGAAACTCCCCCCTGGGGCAGTTCTACTCTGACCCACAAGGGTCATTATGAGCTGAGACCAGCTGACAGCAATGGGGATAGCTTCTCTGATGGTTAAACTATTTGAACAAACTTCATGGTTTATACCAAACACCTTTTTCCTTCTAGAGCAGGAAACTTTAGTCCACAGCAAGTACGGCTGCCTATACAAACAAACGCAGGGCCATCAAGGTGGTTCTGACCCACAGTGACCTCCCACTGGGTCTCCAAGACTATAAATCTTGACAAGCAGAGAATGCTCACTTTTGTCCTCAAGAGTCACAATTGAAAAAATCACCCTTGGAATTATTTGAGATCATTTATATAATGTAAGCAACACGTTTCAGTAAAAGCATGCTTTACAAGCATAAATATCTTTTAAATATAATGGAAATTGCATGAATAATATTTTCAAGTTGAACTAATGAAATACTTGATGATTTTAGTGTCAGGTTTTTTTTTTTTCTCTTGGCTTTTTTAGTTTTATTTTCATTAACTTTACATTTTTTTTTCCTGTTGGACATCATGATTGCCCTTTAAATCCTTCTTCTTGTTGTTGTGTACCGTTGAGTCGGAACTGACCCATAGTTGACCCTCCAGAGGGTTTTCACAAACTAGTAAATGGAAGCGGCAAAGTTTGAATGCAGGCCATGCGACTCCGGAGCCCTTTATCTACTGCCCTGTGTTGCTGTGTGTCTTTGAGTCGGATTCCAGCTGACGTTGTTATTGTTAGGAGCCGTCAAGGCAACTATAACTCATGTGGACCCATGAACAACAGATCTGAACCTTGCTCTACCCTGAGACATCCTCACAATCTCTGATACGCTCGAGCCCCCCTGCTACAGTCACTGCGTCAATCCACCTAGTCGACGTTTCACCTTCCCTAGTATAATATCCTTTTCTAGGGACTGGCTTCTCCTGATGACTTGTTCAAAGTATGTGAGAAGTTTCACCGTTCTTGCCTCTGAGTGGAACCCTGGTTGCACTTACTCCAAGACAAACTCTTTTGTTTTGGCAGTCCATGGGATATTCAGAACTCTTCTTCAACACCACAACTCAAAGCAATCAATCCTTCTTATCCAACTGAGCATGGCCACATGGGTAGAATCGCTCCCTACAAGTCCGTACCTAGGCACTCTATATGGGAGAAGATCACCCCAACTCTCTCCACACATGAGCTTCAAACCACTGACCTTTCAAAGTGTGGCCAAGCATGTTGGCACTGCAGTTAGCACTGCACCAGGGCTCCTCCTCATGTGCTATGTCATGTTTGAATGGTCAGAGTGATACTATTTCTGACCCACAGCTGTGGTTTTTAACAAAGATGTGCTCTACAAATATACTAAAAATGCAAACCACAGTCAAGACAAGTTTGTTGGTTTTATTTCCCTTCTGATTTTGCGCCATCTCTGAGGGAGTGTACCCACAGAGGACACAAAAATCAGCCAGATGCTATCTGCCCATGGGACCACCACGCCTGTGGAGGACTATTTCAGGGGATGTCATCAGGTGAGAGCCTATGGGGAAGAAGTCATGCGGAAATCAAACAAAGCAGGAAGCTCATCTGATTGAGAGCGGACAGGCAAGCTGAAGTGGCATTTGTCACAGGCCCTGAGGGATGGGTGGGATTAAGGAAAGGCCTGTGTAAAAATTCAGTGACAGGAGAGAAGGAAGCAGGTATGACACCTTAAGCATCTTCCATCATCAGCATTAGTGTGGGGAAACGGCCCTCCCCATCAGGACGGGAAGTCAATCAACAACACTTCCACCTCTTGTACAAAGCCAAAAGGCAAGTGATTCAGGTTAGGCAATCAGTGAATTCTGCCTCCTGGTCAACATGATTGGTTGAGGGAGATGTGAACAAGATTGGGCCAGGCCTGTGTTCTCACCCAAAGGAGTATGGGACACTTTTTTTCTCTGGAACTTTTCTAGAAGGAAGAGGATATAAGCCAAAACTTACAGATGACATTTGAGGAAATCACACCCAAGAACTCAGGGAACACAGGATCAAGAATGAGGACTGAGGGACACCAGGTCCTTAAAATGTTGAACTCCTAAATCCATCCATGCCTGAAACTTGCTTCTTTTGAGCTTGTCAGAAGCATGAGCCTCTAATTTTCCCTAATTGGACTTCTACCCCATGCAAGTGAGAGACTCTTGACCAACATAATTAGAGACAGGAGTTTGGCTAGAATCTAAGAGGACACAGGAGGGGGAAATCCAGTGTGTATACTATAGGGGTTGTAAATGACATACACTGTCAAGAACTGACAAACATTACTGCATACCAGCAATAAATCAGACAACTTGGAGGAGTAAAATATCCAGGACCTGACTAACAGGCCAGGAAGTAAAATGACTAAGAATTGCCAGGGAGTATCATCATAGATGGAGAAGAGATTGAGATTAATATCAATTTCAGCTTAATTGGTTTCACAATCAATACTCTTTGCACCAGCTCTCAGGAAATCAAAAGACAAACTGCATTAAGGAAATCTGCTATTAGGGGGCCTTTCCAGAATGCTGACTAGAAAGAATGTCAGTCTAGAGACCAAGGTGTGCCTGATCTAGGCCATGGTCTTCACAATTACTTACTATACATCAGAGAGCCAAGGATGACAGAAGAACTGATGCCTTTGAATTGATGCTGGAGAAGTTTTGAACATTCCATGGACTGCCAAGAGGCACTAACAGGGATGTCATGGAGAGGTTGAAACCAAGCTGCTCCTTGGAGGCAAGGATTTTGAGACTCTGCCTCACATACTTTAGGCAGGAAGGGCCATCTTTGGTGAAGGAAATCATGCTTGAAAGGGTCAAGGGACAGTGCAGGAGAGGAAGACCCCAGGTGAGATGGACTGATAAAATAACTAGGGAATGAGAATAGGTGTGTCAGAGATAATGAGACTGACTGACTCAGGATAGGGCAGGCTTTGAAGCTATCGTGCATAGGGTTCCTATGAGTCGCAAGTGACTCAACAGCTCATAACAACAACAGCACAGATATTCTTATTACCAACATCCCCTCCCTACCCTCAGAGGCCACATGTAGAGTGATGGCAGACACATACCACCCACAGGAGGTAGAGAGCTAGGATGACTTGCAGAGGGGCTGACCAGATCATGTTAAGGTATGTGGCCAAGTCCATAAAGCGCTGGGCGTCCACAGACATGAGGTTAACGATCTCGCCCACCGTGGAGGACTTTCTTGCTGAGTTGGTGATCACAAGAGCCTGTGGGACAAAGGAGGGAGTAAGTGAGTGTGGCAGCCCGGGGGAGGGTCCAGGCTCCAAGATAGATTACAGAAAGGAAGCTGCCAGTCCGCTGGCTGCCAGCCTTCCCACCCCATTACAAAGCTCCTTTCCATGAGGACGATTCTTTGCTTCCCTATCATGAATTCTTCAATTTGGAAGGAACCAGTGAACCCATCTAAGTTAGGATTTCGTAATGTGCAAACCAACCAGCTGTCAAATCAAAACTCATTGCCGTCAAGTTGGAAGTGACTCACAGCGGACCCTCCAGCAGGTTTTCAGAGGCTGTAAACTGTACTGGAGAAGAAGGTCCATCTTTCTGCCAAGGAGCTGTGAATGGATTAGAACCTCCAGGGTGATCATGCCTTTGAATTAGCAGTGCAACTCACCAACGAATGCAGCAGAGCTCTTTATTCTCTTTTGTTGTTGCTGTGTACCACAGAGTCGGAGCCGACCCATAGCTGACCCTCTGGCACATTTTCAGAAGCAGTTAATCGCACAGGAGGCGACTGGCCCATCCTTCTCCCACGGAGCAGCTGGTGGCCATCAGGATTGCAGCACAGCTTCTTGCCACTAGGCCAACAGAGCTCCTAATTCTCTTTTAGGAGCACTAAATAACTAAGAGGGAGCTCTCGTGGGCCAGCGGGTAGGCAACTGCATTACTAACCCAATGGCAGCCCTTCTACAGCTGGAATCCACCAGTAGATCCACAGGGAAAAGATGGGCAATCTCCTTCTATGCGATTTACAGCTCCAAAAACCCGCTGATGCTCGGCTATGAGTTGGTTCTGACTTGATGGCAATGAGTGCATGTAAGTGAAATAAATAAGATACAAAGAACCCGAGGGATGCTGGGCCACTGCCACTAAGATGACAGCGGAGTGAGCCTAAAAGTGGTTTTTACTCATAGCCGCTCTCTCTTAACTGCAGACTTAAGTGCTTACAAATTAGGATGGTCTTGCTAATCATCAACAGCTGAAGCCACAACATAAAGAGTGCTGCTCACACTGGGCAGAGAGACTTAGATCTGCAAGGTTTGACGTGAGAGAGGTGTGTGATGGCAAGACCCTGGTGGTGGAGAGACTGTGGCATTGCTGTGGAGAAACTGTGGCAAGGTGTGACCTGAGGCTTCTTGCATTTGTGCTGGCCACAGTTGGATCTTTGCAGTTCTTGCCTCTGATGATGGAAGGAAAAGGTGTTCGTGGAATTGAAATGGGAGCCTGGACTGAGGAGCTGTCCCTTTGAACTGCTGGGCCGAACCCTGAACTTATTTGGGGTTATATTCTTTGCCTCCCTCACTCTCCTACTTCCTTCCCTATAAACCCCATTGTTGGTATCATAACTATGAGTCTGTGAGTCAGTCAGTAAAGAATAAATGAACCTCTTGCTGCCAGTGTGGCTCAAAGGCACCATGGGGCTGGGCCCGGCTCTTTATCTGCTTTCTGCTCTGGGGTGGTGAGGGGCTGTGCTATTCTCATTCCTGCTGGCCCTTTTAGAGAGACGTTCGTGGTCCTGTGCCCCTACATCCTGTCTCCCGTTTTAGACAATGATCTTCCCATAGAGACAATAGGAGAGAATTCTCGTACAGCTACTGACCCAAACTCAGACTTCTAGCCTCTTAAATAATGAGAAAACACATTTCTGTTTTTAAAACCATCCAGGAGAACTTTTGTTATAGGAGCACCAGGAGGGACCCAGGCAGGTCCTCATGGGTTCAGAGGCTGCAGGAGGTGGCTGTCATGCGCAGGCCACTGCCTTCCCGTCACCAGTCTCACTGACCTTGCGGTAGATGGCCCCGATGACGGCGGTCTTGACCCTCATGCCGCTGACGAAGCAGATGTGGAAGTACTGGTGCAGCACAAGGGTCTGGAGACAGGCGCTGATGAACAGGAGCGCCGTGTAGAAATAGCCCTGCCAGTTGGGGGCCTCCTTGTCATTGACAAAGTTGATGAGCAGCCTGAGAAGAGCAAGGGCAGAGCCCGGCGTCACAGGGAGGCACGTGGGGGAAGCGTCCCTTAATGAGGGGCCAGCAGTCTGAGCGTCTCCTGGGCGGGCTAGCTAGGGCAGGCCTCACTGTTCTCAATGGGAAAACCAGAGGTGCAGGGAGCCGGACAGGGGACAGCACAGCACCTCTGCCCAGGCCCACACCTCTGTCACCGGGAGTTCTAGGTTCCCTGAGGAGGAGCAAATAGAGAATAAAAGAGACAGGTGAAAAGGAAAGAGAAGAGATAAGTGATCCTTGAAAGAGAAATGACAAGAGAGAGAGTCAGGAATGGTAGGGGAAGACAGAGAGACAGAATGATGAGACACAAAGAGGAAGGAGAGAGAGAAGAGGCATAGACAGAAACAGAGAAGGAAGAAAACACACACACACACACACACACACACACACACACACTCAGCATAGACAGAGGCAAACAAACAAAGTTGGAAAGAGGAGAGAGGCAGAGAAAGAGAGGATGGGCAGAGAGAGAGGGCCTCATTCTCAACTTTCGGCCTGCAATTTTTCATGGCCTCTGGTTGCCTCCTGGGATGTTCTTGAACATGATATAGTTTCACAGATAGACAGATATGAGCTCTGGTAGCTTAAGTGGTAGAGTTGCATTGTCAAGGGCATATTGTTCGAAAGATGGGCAATCTCCTCCTGTGTGATTTGTAGCCTCTGAAAACCTGCTGGACTATGAGTTGGAACTGGCTCACAGCTGAGCCTCATGGGGTTCCAAGACTGTTGGTTTCATAGGAGGGAGACCACCTCACTATTCTCCTGAGGAGACACTTGTGGATTCAAACTGCTAAGTTTATATATAAAACTCTAAAGGTATCGTGTAGCAGGTAAATGCAGGGACTGTTTGTGTCCACCTAACAGGCTGTGGGTCGAAGGAGAGGGTGAACGGGAGGGCAAGGGCTCAGCTGGGAGGGACAGGTCTTACTTGAGGATTTCTGGGCCTGCAAACATCATCAGGTCGTGGAGCGCCTTAAACAAGAAGCTCATGAGGAAGTAGGGCCCGAAGGTCTTGTATAACACCTTAAACAGCGATGGCTCTCGCTCCTTCTGGGGGGACTTGACGATCAGCGCCTCCGCCTCCTCATTCACATCCGTCTTGGAGCCTACTCTGGGCTTGCCAGGGTCCTTGGAGGAGTACACAATCTTCACCGGCTGCCTGAAACACAAGGAACAGGTGCATGCACTGTGGGTTCTGCTGGGGTCCGTGCCGGAGACACGTGCTCTCAGCTGAGAAAGCTAAGTTAGGACTGTGGACCCGGGAATCCATGGCTCAAACACTGCTTTGCCACTTGCTAGCATTTTGGCTTTAGGCAAGTATCTTTAATTTTTCCAAGCCTCAGTTTCTTCTCTGTGAAATGGGAATAATCATAGCACCTTCCATCCTGTTATTGATAAGGTGGTATTAATAAGTTCAGAATTCTGTCTATATATATAGTTCTATGTCTATATAAAACTATATATCTCTACAGAACTATATAGATACAGTTCTGTCTCTCTATTCGTCTTCCTATCTATCTGTTATAAAACTAAAACTGACATCAGTTTCTTTAGCCTACAACACTGGTTAGCTCTTTTAAACTGTTTTCCCCAGTCATACATAAATTGTATCTTAATCTGCCTGTTTGCCAGGAGGGGCGGGGCGCCTTTCCTGAGTTAGCCTTTATCTCGTCAGGGCCTTTCTTTCCTCAGTCATGATTAACTCTTTTGTAGGTTGCCTTTTTACTGGTATCTGTGTCTGGATAGTTTTTTTCAGATGTAGAAATTCTTTGATTTTTACTACTTAAAGTGCATTGCTCTGCACTGCAATCCCAGAGGTACCAGATGCTCTGCTGGAGAAAGAGGGACAATCTCCTCCTGTACCAATCAGATCTGATTTGAAGGTACACAAACACACACACACATACCCCTCAAAACTAACACACACAAAGAGCATTGTTAGATGAGTTGGTGTCTCACCCTGGTATAAAATAGCCTGATAACCACTCCTAGAAGAGGAGGCAGTTTTTGATGGGAACTCTCTGTCCTCCCAGATCTGTAACAGAGTGCATATGGATATTGCAACTCATGTGTCTTACTGGCAATTGACTAAGGAAAGAACCCCTTGTGTTCAGTAACATGATTACTGAGAGAGAATATAGAGACATATCAAAGATATTCAAGCATGTCAGCAATCGCAAGGATAGTGCAGGACAGGCCAAGTTTCAGATCTGTTACTCAGAGAATCACTCTTCGAGTAATAGTTAAAAACAACAACAATAATAGTGTACAGGCATACCAAGGAAATACTGTGAGTCTGGCTCCATCCACTACAATAAGGTTGTTGTTGTTGTTATTATGTGCCGTTGAGTCGTTTGCGACTCACAGCAACACTACGTACAACAGTCCTAAACCCTGCTCTATCCTGTACCAATCGCACTGCCTCTGACACACCCATACCGATTACCCCAGTCACTGAATCAATCCACCTCATAGAGGGCCTTCCCCTCCTGCGCTGTCCCTCTACCCTCCCAAGCATGATGTCCCTCTCCAAGGGCCTGTCCCTCCTTACAACATGTCCAGAGTATGTCAGACAAAGCACCGAATCCTTGCCTCCAAGGAGCAGCCTGGTAGTATTGCAATAAATGAGTCAGGTGATTGTCCAAATTTTCTACTTCATATAAATCGTGCTTATACTAGACTGTATATGGTCTATTAAGTATGCTATTGTGTTCTGAAAGAGTTTTAATATAGAGAATTATCAAAATGTGACAGAGATGCAGAGTGTGCATACACTGTGGGGAAAACGGTGCGATGGACTTGCTCAACGTAGGCTGGCCACAATTTTTTCATTGGTATGAGAGTATCTGTGAAGCGCAGTAAAGTATCACAGCATCATCAAACCAGGTGGGCCTGTACAGGCGGCGCTCAGGAGAATGCCACCCCTCACACGGCCCAAGAAATCCAGTGCAGGTCCTATCTGAGCTGGGTCTTCTGCAGAAACTGACAAGCTGGTCTCTAAATTCAGAAGGAAGTAGAAAAGAGCCAAAATAATTTTGAAAAAGAGCAAAACGGAGGTACTCAGATTTCCCAAATTTCATAACTGACTAAAAAGCTATGGTAGTTGTTAGATATAAAAAAAGAGCACGAGGGCGCAAGGGAGAGAAATAAAGAAAGAAATTGGTCCCAAGAAACGAACAGGCCTTTATTGTGCAGTCTGAGACGAATGCATCCTTCAGTAATTAAGACAACACTATGTTACTAAAGACAGACACATAGATCAATCAAAAAAGAAAAGAGTCCAGAAATACACCCCAAGAAGGGACCAAAATCATTCAATGGGAAGAGAATAATCTTTTTAACAAATATAATAAGACCACTAGATTTCACATGGGAAAGCACTGAATTGCCCCCTACTTGACATAATACACAGAAGAAAGAAAAAAAAAATCAACTTAAAACAGATCAGAGACTCAAATGTGAAAAGCAAACTATCAAACTCTTAGATGAAAAGATGGGGGCAAACCTTTGGAACCTTGGATTTGGCAATGGACTTTTGAACATGAAGCCAAAGAATGGGCAGCAACTGTAAGAACACTTTGACCATCACCAGAATGAAATGCTTTCTGCTTCAAAGGAAATGAAAATAGAAAAGATCATGCTGTGAGGGAAAGGATTTCTGCAAGTCAAAATTCAATAAGGGACTTAGACCTCGAAGAAAAACAACGAACTCTTCAACAATGTATTGAGGTTTCTCCAGGAAGACACACAGATGGCCAATTAGCAAGTGCAAAGTTGCTGAACATTATTAGCTATCAAGGAAATACAAATCAAAACCACCAGGAGCTGCTACTTTACACACACAAGATCAGTCAGATAAGGAGGACATTGAGAACTTGAAACCTTGAACCATTTGTTGTTGTTATGTGCCCTTGAGTTGGAACCCACTTAGAGCTGGGATCCACCAGCCAGTTTCAGAGGCAGCAAAGGTGATTATCCATCTTCCCCCCCAAAGAACAGCTGGTAGATTTGAAAGACCGGCCTTTGAGCTGGCAGCCTAACTCCTTACCCACCAGGCTGAGACAACTTTAGAAAACAGGATGAGTGTTCTCAAAAAGTGAAGTAAGGAGTTACCATCTGACGTAGTGTTTCTATTCTTAAGTATGGACCCAAAAGAAATGGAAAGGCATGCCCACACGAAAATGTGTTCACAAATTTTCACGGTGGCATTATATACGACAGTCAAGAAGTGGAAACGACCCAAGACCATCAGCTGATGGATGAAGGATCATCAAAATGTGACCTTCCGACAATAGTGGAGTTATCATTTGGCCAGTAAACTATCAATGTATGACAGAGGCTGCAACATGGACCAACCTTGTAAACACAATGCTAGTGAGAAAGAAGCCAGTTTCTAAAAAGCCTCCATGATTTCATTTATATGGCATGCCCAAACCCAGAAATGTACAGAGACAGAAAGCTTAGGGCTCTAACAGAGTATGATAAGCTTACAGACATGAGGTTTCTTTCCCGGGCGATGAATGAACGAAGTTCTAAATTAGATTACAGCGATAATACACAGATAACCTAAGTATCACTGAATTGCATGGCATGTAAGTTATGACTCAACAAAGCTTCTGGAATGAAAGAAGTCCTATCTTTTGGAGGTATTCTTCTTAAAAAGCATCATTCACATCACATAATATCAGTCATTCTAATTTTATGTTAGGGCTAAAAGGGAACATAAAATATCAAACAGCGCAGGTGTTTAATCATAGCCTCACATTTTGATGGGTGGAGCGAGGGGTAAGGATAGGAAATGGCAAAGAGCTGGTGTGAAAAACAATGTAGAAGAACTTCGTTAAGTAAACCAGTATAAAATAAAAATTTTCTTTAAATTAAAAAAAAAAAATCAAACAGCTCTTTTGTTTTTTAGGGAGGCCCTGAGGTTCACAAAGGTTACAGAGCCCACCCAGAGCTTTGAGAAAACAAAATACCATCCTCTCTGGAGGTAGCCAGCCTCCCATGAACCTCAGCTCTTGGTATTTACAGCCCTGTGACATTCTCTTCTCTCTCCAAATATGGTGGAAGTAACACAGTGTTATTTTTAAGACTAAGCAAAATCCATAATGATTCCTGGGGAGGCCAGTTTCAAATCACAATCAACCCTCAATCAGGTTTCCAAGACTATAAATCTTTACAGGAGAAGTTTGCTTCCTACCCAGCTTTCTCCCAGAAGTGGCTGGGGGGGGTGGGGTGGTGTCCCAACTCCTGACCTTTCCGTTAGCAGCCCCAAAACACCGTGGCCCAGACATGCTGGACTGGCTAAGACTGTCTGACTCCCCAAGATCACTTTCCTCAGATTATTATTCAATCCTTAAGGTGAAATTAACTCCTGAGGTCACCTGTACCGGAATAACAAAGTGATTGATTAAGTAAAAAAAAGAAAAATCACTCCAAGTACCGTGCTCATGTTAAAAAACATTATGTTGTCGTGTGTCATCGAGTCGGAGCTGACCCACAGCTGATGCTCCATAAAAAACATTATATGGGGGAAAAATGCTATGATTCTTTTGTGTGGATGTACCACAATTTCTCAATCCATTCGTTAGTTGATGGCACGTGGGCTCTTTCCATTTTTGTGCTATTGTGATTAGTGCTGCTATGACCATAGATGTACATGTGTCCATTCACGCCTCAGTTCTGACTTCTTTGGAATATATTTTTAACAGTGGAATAGCTGGATCATAATAAATTTGTTTAATTATTTTTTGTGTGTGAGGGGGTGCTCATATATTATACAACACTAAGGAACAACGATTTTATAAATAACACAGGAGAGTTTAGAGGGTGTTATGTTGAGTGAAATAACTTAGTCACATAAGGACAAATACTGCATAAGACAGATATTATAAAAATAGAAGTATAACTGACAAAGGTATTAATAAATGTTCAAAAAAAGGAAGGGGAGGGCAGAAGTAGGGGCATAAAAAGGGGTAGGGGGAATAATCATCAAGATAGCAGAGGCTGCTGGTTGAAGGTGAAGGAGGAAATGAAGGAATGGAAAAGTTTCAATGAGGACCTTAAAAGATGGAGTGATGATAGATAGAGTCCAGTGATAATTATATAACATATGCATATGAATGATTGGTAGCATCATGATAGATGGTGAAGAGACTG